AGCCATTAGTTTTGACTGGGTATAGAGAAAAATTAGGGTCAACGAAAGAAAGAAACCTTCTTACAGAAAATTAAAACCCCCAAAAAAAAATTATCATTACAACTCTACGGTGAAGTTACCAATTGTTTCAGGTCAGGCAGCCATGAAAACAAATATATGATATTCTAGAGTAACTATTGACAAAAAATTTAGTTCTATTTACTTTATTCTTTTATACGGCCAAGTCGGAAATGAGAACTGATCGTTTGCTTTGTGTTTTAGATGAAGAATTAAGGTCTGTAATGATACGAAGCGCGTTTTGTTATGTCTCCATGTCATCGATTTGACTCCAATTCATGATTGAAAAACCCTAACCGCCATGGATACGTATACTTGTATGTACATTTGTACGCATGTAATGTAAATTTTGGCAGAGATTACCTTGGCAGTGATGATGTTACGAGCAGCGAAGATGTTGGCGATAGATTTGGGAAGTCCCATCTCGCTTAGAAGCTTGTTCGCCATCTCTCTCCCTCTCCACCTTTTCTTTGGAGATCTGGTTTTTTCCCGCCAATTATCAACCTAGCGTCTAAATTGCTCTCCTTCTTCCCTCCGTTTTTTTCTTTATCCTAAACGTAAATTTGTTAAACCGCAAAAATATTTATTTTCACTCTAAACTTTTAATAAATGTTTATATCGCACCTAAAATTTTTTTGTTTTAAATCAACTCTCATTTTCTCAAAATATTTAAATTACCTTTTAATTATTATTATTATTATATGATAATATCATTATGAGTTAGTACTCGTTATTGATAATATATACAAATTAAATCTATTTAAATATTACATCAATTACATATACAATTCGTATTTATTTATTTAAAACGATGAAATCATTTCTTAATTATACTTTAAAGATATATTTGAAAAACTATATATATTTTCCTTTATGAATTGAGTTCACTCATTCTTTATCAGACTTCATTAATAAGAGTGTTGTTGACGGCTACAGAATTTAAGAAAATTAAATATTCGTTACCATTTATATTAAATTTGTTTTCGTTACTCAAGTTTAAAAAATTATAACTCTTTGTGCTATTGTCACAAGAAATTTCTTATTTATATCGTATTTTGAAAATTTATATTTCTTAATTTCGTTAATTGTAAAAATTTATTAATTTATGATTATTTATGACCGAAATAAATTTATAACCAATATGTATGAATCAATAGAAAAGACGAATCCCTTATGATACATAATCATGAGATTCTGCTCGGTTATTGATTAGAGTGAATAGATATATAATTTCTTAAAATATCTCTTTTGATTAATGATTACTACGAGCCATACTCAATAATGAGATATAATTTTTTAACAACTAACGGTGCTTGCACATTGAATATAAATAAATGGTGGTAATGATTCTACTCCATCAGTCTTCCTCGACGAAGTCAATGGTAGAAGATAAGGGATCGGGTGATATTTCATAAATGCACCTCCATAGCACGTGTGACGAAGGACGTTATTTTATTGTGTATTAAATTTGTACATGTTATCAATAAAATGTGATTCCTTATAATTACTTTATCTAATAATAATTACTATATGATAATTTGAATATTTGACAAGTTAAAAGTTATTTTGAACAAATAGTAATAATAATAATAATAATTTAATATTTTTAAAAATTAATAGCGAAAATAAATAAATTTTTGTTTAAAAATATAAATAATTAATTCAAAATTTAATTTATTGAATTATATATTTTTTTACAAATATTTATTTAAATTTATTTTATCAAACATAATAGCAGTAGTTTATAGAAGACCATAGATATGTTTATTATTATCATACATTTAATGTATTTTTTATTAAATTTTAATCTCTAAATTTAAATAATTAAATTCATTAACTATTTATTATCATTAAAAAATATGAAAATTGGAAATTTAGTTATTTATATCTAATGGTTTTGATTGCTAATTAAGCCGCGAAGACTCCTAATTTAAAATCACTTTCGACTCTGTAAAATCATAAAATATTTATTTATTCACAATTAATCGTAATATTTATAATATTAATTAATTAATGTGTTTTGAGGTCATATTCCACTCACAATACCATATGGTTTCTGAAATATATATATATATATATATATTATATCCATGTGAAAAATATGGATTTATTCATTTAATTCAACTAAGAATTTGACATTTAAAAATGTCTGCGGTATTCTGCATAATGAAATTGACAAGTTTGAAACTACTTCATTTAGTAAAGCATTACATTTATTTATTTATTAATGTGTGAAGAAAATATGTAACTCATTTAAAGTTATAAGATATGGTTGAAAACATACTACTAAAAACACAATTGAGCCTGATATATATATATATATATATATATATATACACACGTGTATATTTTAAAATTTTAACAGAGTATTAAACCGTTATGTTTACTCAAAATAAAAAATATATATATAATAATTATCGAATATTTATTTTACATAATAATAATAAATATTTTAATAAAATTTAATTTGATTAACGTAATTTTATACTATAAATTAAATATTATTAGTAAATTATTATTAATTTATAATACATAAATTTTATATTTTTAATAAAATTTAAAATTGAGGTAAAATGTAAAGTTTTAACTAATAAATCAATGTGTTTCTAATGAATTATGATATATATATATGCATATATATATTATATGTTAAGTGAAGTCCACTTTGGTATTTGACATTATAAAGTTAGGCATGCACTTTTGAAGCCTTCATAATTTCAAATGTGCTATATATATATATATATATATATATATATATAAAGCAAATTAAAACACAAATTTCCAGATAATTAAAAGCCTTGACTTGACCAGGACGGCCTGACCTATAAATATATGACCATTGATACTATATAATCATTATATATATATATATATAATTAAACAAAATGTATTAAATTTTTAAAAAAATTTCTAAATGTGGACAGCCCCTTAATATTTTTAATTCAATATTACATCTTTTAATTAAAAGCAAAGCAACTGTAAGGAAGATAATTGGGCTTCAATTCAGGCCCATTCTAATTTATTTTAACTGCTATTGAATCCTATACATACAATTCTATATATACAAACATATTAATTAATTAATTATTAAGTTTTATTGAATCCAAATTGTGAGTCACTCACCTTCAACCCATCAAACTTAATAATTTATAAGTGCTATTTTTGTACAATAAAAAAATTATGTTATATTTTTATCCATTATGATTATCATATTAGATGAAACTTAAATCGTAATAAAATATTTTTTTATTAAAATACACTGTGACTCATTAAGATATAACTCAACTTAGTTATCATAGTTAAATAAACACACTAATAAATTAATTACAATATCGTATTAAATTTAATATTATGTATTAATTACTCTCAACCTGTAACATATATATAAAATGATGAATTATATGTTGACGATAAAATTTAAATTCGTAATATTCAAATAATATATATATATATTAACTATTATATTATTGTATGTTTTTATATTAATATCATGCAATATATAGTTATCTTGCACTTGACAATAGTCAAAATTAAAACTTATAATATAAAGATCAAAATTTAGTGAATTATTAGTTTCACAAAAAGTCTTTTTTTTTTTATAATTTTTACCAAACGTAATTTTTTGCGTACTAGATGACGTAATTAGTGACATATTTGAATGAATGTAATTAGCGACATCACAAATAAAATGTCTTATTTATTGTTTGTTAATTTTGTGT